TATTTTAAACTGTATAAAAAAAATTGAAATCAATTGTGAAAATCCATTCCTTATATAGGACGGTCTCTCCTGTTATTTTGTCACTATGTGATAAACGAGCTGATGATTTATTGTGACACAGAAATAAATGAATACATGCGGAAATTAAAATTATTTGTTGTAATATTTGGTTGTGTTAGTTTTTACATTTTTCTTTTCAATGATTTAAATGCTTTAAATTCTTTATAATCTAATTGACTTTATTATCAATTGATTTATTTTAGAAACTTGGAAAATTTTGTTACTTGCACACATTTGGATAAATAATCTATCAATTGTTGGATTATTAATATATTTTTAGTGTTTTGTTACTCGCAAAAATTTGGACAAATAATTTTTTGATTTATTTTAGAAACTTGGAAAAGGTTGTTACTCGTAAACATTTGGACAAATAACCTATCAATTGTTTGTTTATTGGTTTATTTTATAAACTGGGAAAAAGTTGTTATTCGCAAACATTTGGACAAATAATCTATCAATTGTTTGTATTGGTTATTTTAGAAAATTTGTTACATAATTGGATAAAATTGTTTGTCTCATTGCTTTATTTTAATACTGATCTTTGATTAAAAATAATCTATTTGATTATAATTTTATTTTATCAATTTTGGTAATTTGAACAATTTCATAATTTATATGTCACGTGAATCCGCTGTGATGAGACTAGTAGCCATATTAATATAGAAAGACCTCATCAAAAATCCGTTATGACGTTAATTAATAAAATAAAAAATAAAAAAAAGAGGCCGATATTTAAATCCGTTGTAGCTGTGGCGAGGTCTGCTGTGACAAGGTTTGAACTGTATTAGTATTAATATTAATATAGTTTCAACTAATTCCGTTAGTTACACACTATTTGGCTATGATGAGTTAATATTAATCCGAAATAGTCACATTCGGTAAATTTCAAATTCAGTGTCAAATGAATTTGTGACTTGTGCTTTGCAAATATTATTTGGAAAAAAATATTTAAAAAAAGTAACTATTATTTTATCTGATGTTTTAAAGGTGAGTTTTTATAAAGGACTTATATAATCTAAAGATTAAACTAAATCATCATTAGTAAATCATTTTCCTTCATATCTATATTTTTTAAAAGAAAACACGATCTAATTTTATATAATTTTATAATTTTATAGATCAATAATTTTATATATTTATATTTATTTATTTTATGTGTAATTTTTAGGATGTTCGGTAAAAAAAAGAAACCAAGGCAACCATTAGAGCCAACTAATTCTACTCCTTCACATAGTCAGCTTAGACCTGCAATAAATTCACCAACCTGCTCACAATATCCTCCTCAACAAAACTATCCACAGTATCCTCCTCAAAGAACTCAATCTCCCGAAGCACCTCAAAATCATCAGGATAATTCAATAATTCGCCAGCATAAAAGAAATCAATCTTCTTCTGACTACTGTAGTTCTAATACAACCTCCTTTTCCGATAGTGCAAGTTCTACACGGTATAGTTCTGAATCATCTTTCAGATCATCTGGTGCTTTCTCTCCAAGTGAAATACAGGCATGGGCTGGAAATTATTATAAAGACGCCTTCTCAAAACAAGATTCTTCACGACCTCCTGATGAAGAAGTCGAAGAGTTATTCTTTGAGTTATTGGTGTTTATTAAATAATAATATTAAGACTTAATCAGCTCTTTATTTGTACATGTGTTTACTTATTAATATCGAGTTTTTTATTCTTACTAGAATAAAAGGGATTTAAAAAACCTTCCAGAATCTCAAAGAAAACAAATGTTGGCAATTCCAACTGATAAAAAATGGGTTTTGATAAAAAATGATAAGTTGCAAGAAGGAGTAAGTTTTATAATCTTTATTATTATTTATTAATTTACCAAGTGGTTGAAGATTTTATACATTAATTTTTATTTTCTAATGAATAGGCAAATAAGATATCCAGTGGAAGTGCTTCTTCTCTTTCTCATGATAAAAACGCCCCCGAATATTATCTTAAAAAAATAATGGATGGTACAATAACTGTCAAAATAATGAATTCTTTGAGTGTCTCCTTAAGAACTTTACCAATTACGTTAGTATTACTCGAAATTTAAGAAAAAAATTTTTGGCCGTTTTTATAATTTGGTTTTGATTATCATTAAATCACCAAATTTATTGATTTTATGTATGCTGTTGTTATATTTTTTATAGTTGGGTCAGATCATTCATTGACGCGAAAGGGTTGGAAGTACTTACAAATTATTTAAATAGTATTACAAGAAAACCTGTAAAGTATGTTTATAGTTAAACTGGCTAATTCATTAAATTGTTTATCTTTATAACAATTAATAAAACAATTTTATTCTCTTAGGAGAGAAGTTGATCTTTTAATGGAATATGAGATTATCAAATGTTTAAAGTTATTATTAAATAACAGAGTAGGTTTTACTCACATAATAATAACAATAATAAATATTTTTATTAAAATTTATTTATTTATTTGTTTAGTGGGGAGCTCAAGAGGCCTTATCTCATCCAACTTGTATCTATAGTATCACATTTTCATTAGTTTCATCTCAACTTAATACTCGTAGACTTGTTGCAGAAGTGCTTTCT